CTTCTGTCGCCCGATGTGGCGTGGCACGACTCGTCTTCCCTTCCCACATGAACACCAACCCGTCCAAGCTTCGACGCACCAAGGCTACCTTGTCTCATATTCTACCTCTATGTTGCAGGATGTGCCTCCAGAAGCAGACACACGGCGTTCCTAGCTTGCTCCGATCACTGTCCCGACATCTTGGCACCGCGCTCTGCACCACTGTGATGCCACCGCGCGTCGACACCATTGTTCCGGGGAAACAACCCTCCCTGGTGTGATTCTCTCTCTGGTGTCATTCCCTGTTCGCTCGCCGATCCACTCCGTCTTGTTGCTATCGTGAGGGATCCCCATGCTCCCAAGCCGCCATCCCATGCCCAGACCGACCCGGCTCGCTCAGTTATCGACCCTCCATTGATACGGACAGGGGTTCGCTTCCCGTCTGTCCACCTACCTTGCGGTACTTGCCTCGCTATCAAAAGTCTTGTCTGTCATTTCTCAGTGCAGGAAGGATCGCGCCTTGCAGCGAGAATGGAGATCACGCCTTGGTCTGTAGGTTCTTATTTAGGCTGCCTTTACCCCCGGCCTCTGTGTGACTGCAATCTGTTCTCTCATCTCGTGTCAGCTGTTGTTCGACAATCCTCTGTCGCTCTTCCTTCACGAGTGCTCTTGAAGAATTCAGGACGAGGCCTTCTGGTACCAAAACAATACTAAAAGTATCGACAACCATTCCCTGCCGCCAATGTCTGCTGGCCTCTACACCGAGGCCTACAACGGCACTGAGGGGGCGGCCGACGATGGCACCTCAGCTGGCGTTGCCAACATGAACGTCTGGTACGAGGTGAGCAGATGACAACCCACGTTCTGCAGACATGGCGTCGTGCTGACTGTTCTCTTCCTCTATAGTCTGGTGACATTGCTTGGATGTGCACCTCCTCCGCCCTCGTTCTGCTCATGATCCCCGGTGTCGGCTTTTTCTATGCCGGTCTCGCTCGGCGAAAGTCGGCTCTCTCACTCATGCTCATGATCATGCTCGCGCATAGCGTCGCGACAGTACAATGGTTCTTTTGGGGCTATTCCTTGACCTTCTCGCAAACGGGCAACGCTTTCCTAGGCAACATGGACTATATCGGTTTCCGTAATGTTGTCGCCCAGCCAGTTGGCGCCATCCCAGAGATCATGTTTGCCATCTACCAAGGTCTCTTTGCTGCCATTACGTGAGACTCTCTCTGGCGCCGTCTTGCAATCTTCTTTCTAACAGGCCGCAGTCCCGCCATTGCCATCGGTGCCATCGCCGACCGCGGTCGCATCCTTCCCGCCATGGTATTCGTCTTCATCTGGGCCACTGTTGTGTACGACCCCATCGCCTACTGGACATGGAACGCCAACGGCTGGCTCCTCGAGCTCGGCTCTCTCGACTTCGCCGGTGGCACTCCTGTCCACATCAACTCTGGTGTCGCAGCCGTGGCCTACTCCCTCATGCTCGGAAAGCGATCTGGCTACGACCGCCTCCACGGCCTCCCCTACAGGCCCCACAACGTCACGAATGTCCTGCTCGGCACCGTCTTCCTCTGGGTGGGCTGGTTTGGCTTCAACGGTGGCTCGACCCTCGCCTCGAACATTCGCACGCCTGTCGTCCTCTTCGTCACCAACCTGGCCGCCTGCATCTCCGGCCTGACCTGGGTCCTACTCGACTACCGCCTGGAGAAGAAGTGGTCCACCATTGGCTTCTGCTCTGGTGCCATCTCTGGCCTCGTCGTCATCACCCCTGCCGCAGGCTACGTTCCCATCTGGTCCGTCCCCGTCTTTGGCATTGTGGGTGGTGCTGCGTGCAACTTTGCCACCAAGCTCAAGTTCCTCGTTGGCATCGACGAGGCCCTCGACGTTTTCGCCGTCCACGGTGCCGGTGGTATTGTCGGCAACCTGCTGACCGGCATCTTCGCTGCGTAAGTTTCCCTCACCTCCGAGCCTTCCTCTGGGATCTCCCTGCTAACCCATACCTAGTGACTACATGGCCGCTCTCGACGGCGCGACCGAGATTGACGGCGGCTGGATCCAGCAGAACTACGTCCAGTTTGGCTACCAGCTCGCTGGCACCGTCGCCGGCATTGCCTGGTGTTTCGTCATGACCTGCCTCATCTGCTTCGTCTTGAACCTCATCCCCGGCCTCAGCCTTCGCGTGAACATTGATGAGGAGGAGCTTGGTCTTGATGATGTGCAGTGCGGCGAGTTCGCCTACGACTACGTCGAGGTCACGCGCCACGTGTCCGACATCCTGACGGGCCAGGACCCTCATGCTGGTCTCGCGGGTACCTCGGCCCACAGCTCCGAGCCTGAGAAGGCTGCGCCTGCTGCTGCTGCTTGAAATTAGCCGTGTGGCGAGGAAGACTGCTACGGCATGTCAACAAGGGTGTCGAGGGGGGAAGAGGAGATCATCACCAGCACTAAATTCATACTTCACTCTCATTTCAATACCACAACATTCCTCTTTTAAAATGTTTCTCAAAATGATTGGCTGTCTAGACATACCTTAGACCGCTTCTTAATAGTCCGGACAACCTGCATTAATCAACGAATCGGCAATCTTGCCACCATCCTGGCTGGTGAGTAGATCCTTCCGCCACTTGAACAGTCTGCAACGCCGTCAGCCCGCATACGAGCATTTCTACACATCGACATTCGCCCCAAGGAGCTCTTGCAGCCAGCGAGTGTCCTCCGTACAAGCAACCTCATAAAGAGGCCATCTTTGAATTCTGGCAACTTTGCTTGCACCCGCTCTCTGATTTCGATACCAATCGATCAAGGTGCGAAATGACGGACAAGAAGACGGAGTATCTCGAAGCTGTCGTTCTCGATGGAAAGCCTTAGCAAGGTTCCGCTGCCATGCCAGCGGAGTTCCAGAGCTGATCGGCAGCGGGACGCTCTATCCCATTGGTCCGGTTAGTAATTCTGTTGGCCCAGTACTGTCACGACGCCAGGAGTCCAGTTCGCCTCCACAGCGATCACCAACGACGAACGCCCCCCACGGTGGCTGCGAGCATGCTTTTGAGCTCCTGCCAGTCATCATGCGTATCGCTGGCTCCCGGCTGCGCAAACCCCTATCAGGTGCGCAATCGACTTCGCGTTCTTGGTCGTAGTCATCAAGTTTCGTGTGGTCTTCTTCCCACAAGGACGTTGCCTTTGGTATGCATGCTCCAAAGGATACGAGGGAAAAAACAATTAAACAGGTTTGCTGAGACGTACACACGTAGACCTGGTGGCCGTCCACAATCGTTCTGAGATAACTCGACCACCTCCATGCACTGTTAACTTTCTTAACGTCATGGAGTAAGCTAGGAGTTAACAATAATTGAGAGGCATTCACTTTAGCCCAGAATGTGAAGGATAACTTAAACACCAATGCGTACAGCCATACAGCGGTAGAGTCAGAAACGCTTTTCTTACAACAGGTATGGATTCAAAAAAGCATGCGAAGAAGACTACCAGACCCGGCAGCTCGGCTATTACTGCCAAAGTGTGACTGACAAGCCGATGAAAGCCATGCTCACAGCAAGCAGAACCTCACCACCACGAGACGAAGCCGCTCCAGAGCCCACGTTCACAGGGGCGGGAGCACCACTGTCAGCGGCACAAGTCAAATTGAACCTGGCGGTTGTTTTGAGGTTGTCTGTGATCCCAAACTTCTCCGTAATCGCCGGGTTGGAATCCCTGATGTTATACCACCAAGTGTTCACTCTTCCGAACAGCCTGTCACATCCGATGAGCTGCCAGTATTGTGCCGCATTCGAAACACTGGCAATAGCCTCCCCAGTGGTAGGACCAGACACAGGGTACCCAGTCTCGGTGACCCAGACAGGTTTGTTGCCTGCGAAGGTGAAAGTCTGGTTGTATATGTCGTCGAAAACAGCTGTTGTGTTGCTGAATGCGTTTCCTCTGTCGGCCTCGTAATAGGTGTACACGTCGGTTCCAATCCAATCAACTTCGTCAATGACGTCTGTGTTGCTGCTGTTGGCCCATGCGCTCCACGAGTCCACATGACCGATGGGCTTATTTCCCAAGATCGTTCCATTGATGGCGGAGCGGACTTCGCGAATGAAGCGCACAATGGTGTCGGGGCCCTGTCCCAACCCAGCATTGTTGGCGACGCCGCTTTCGGAAAGACGGTACATGTCCTCGCTTCCAACGGAGATAGCCAGCACAAGGTCGGCAAATCGCTGGCCGTATTGTTCAATGGCGCTGTTCATGGCAGCAATCTCTTGGTCGATCGAGTTGGTGCCGGAACACCAAATTCCAAGAAGCATCGTAGTGTTGGTGTTAAGCGCCGCTTGAAAAGCCGAGATGGGGGTGTTCGTGGTTCCCGCTTGAATCATGGTGTACAGGCGCACGCTGTTGAAAAGCCCAGGGGAGCCGCGGAGTCCTTGAGCCGTCTTGAACTCATTTTCAAAGTCGGACTCAACTTTCGCTTTCGAATCAGCTTTCGTGGCTCCAGAGTTAAACCCCAAGACACCTTGAGGTAACTCCTGGCCCACGACGCTGAGGGCCAGGAAGGACAATAACGAGAGACTAGTGAAATACATTACGACAATAAAGGAGTGAAATTGGCTGAGAAGGAGAAGAAATCGGACTTCAGGGGAACGGAACGGCCGTGGCCGGACTGGCCGCGCACTATATGTTCTATCGTCTGGACTGAGCAGCAAGTCTGACGGATAATCCGGCAGGGACAGCTGCCGTTGCAGAAAGGGGCTCACGCAGAACGATCGTTGGTTTCATAGGTTGTACAAGCCCCTTATTAGAGTTATAGTGATGCGCTGGCTTGGCCGCCATTCTGGTCGACGTTGAAACTTTAAATAACTGCCGGTCAAGCGTTCCTCGAATGGCCAGCAAGGAAAGCCTCCGGCTGCGACGTCGACAATCAACAGCCGGAATTGAATCCTGAAATTTCGTCCAATGAGGGCCACAAGTACAAATCTACGGACATGCTCGATCCCCGTGGCATACTACAGACCACGCAAAGTTCATTTCTCCCTAACAAGCCACTCCCTTAATAAGTTGCACGGGTACCTGATGTCACCCACTTTCCGCCGCCGTGGGATGGACATGCTCTGCGCCAATCGCATCATGGTGTCGCATCCGTGCGAACGTGCCGACACAATCAAGGCGATTGGTAACTGAGAGCGATTACAGGATGCGACCTCGAATTACGTGCAGTTGAGGACCTTTGGACAGATGTCACTGGCAATTTAAGTGATCAAAGAGTGAGCCGACTGACATGCCTCGTTGTGCAATGGTTACCCGCAGTCATGGCTCGCCACATCTACTGCGGTCTCTGACTTCGTAGAGTACCGAGACCTCGAGCCCCGAGAGAACGCACAACACCGGCCGTCATGTCGCTTGAGTTCTGTCGAAGGTCTTTACCTTGCCACGGCTTGCTCTGGGTTGCCGATCGGTGAGCTCGGTGAGGCTTATCGGAGAGGCCTACAATTTGCTTATCAGCTCCACTAAAAAGTTTCCCATTCGATTCTTCTCCCCCGCCATCCATACCGACACATCGACCTTCTGAATCTCCTCAGCTTCTATCACTAAGCTTCTCGACATAGCGATCCCCCTTCTCTGTCGATGAGACAAGTCGAAAACATTTACTCATAAACCACTCGACGCCATGGCTCCCTCCGCCAAGAACCTCGCAGGCACCTCTCGCCCACACGCCCACGCCAAAGCCCGCAAGGCCAAAACCCAGCAGGCGCGCGTTGCTCTCGCCAATGCGAACCGCGTCGCAAAGCGCGATGTAAGGCGCGGCGCCCGCCCTGGGCTACTTCCCAACAGCGGACCCCAAGCAGCAATGAGCCGCAAGAAGGCGCGCAAGGTCGAGAAGGCACTGGCACACGCTGCGAAGAGGCGGGAGGAACAAGGGGATGTTGAGGGCTTGGACGAGGACGAAGAGGCGGACGAGGAATACATTGATGCGGAGGATGAGGAGGATGAAGCTGAGGTTGAGATGGAAGGTGGGATTGTTCTCTGATCGGTCATGATGTGCGCTTGCTGACTCGAATACTTCAGATGCTGTCGAGCCCAAGACGTCGAAGAAATCGAAGAAGTCGAAGAAGGGGAAGAAGGCTGCTGCGACAACAACGGATATGGAGGTCGATGATATCGCTTGAACAGCTCTCCGTGAAACGGGATGGCTTATAGAGAGGGAAGCGAGCCCCGGAATGTACTCATCAGGCCCGGGGCTTGCTTTGATCACAATGATGTGCGCCCAAACAGCCTACTTCCCAGTGTTCTTACTAATAAATGAGCAGTGACGAACTTGGAATTCGGTTTATCGATTCGTGCTGCGGCACCTTCAGATACTTGGGCGAGATGGTTTTGGTGGAGGCCAGCGTGATTGAGCGCTCGATTGCGTTCAGGAGTGCAATCACAAGGTGTGCGAAAGTGGCAAACCGGACAAACAAAAATCCCGGCAAGGCCGGCTCGTCTGTAATCGACGACAACACCATGGACCATTCATTACGACGGAGTGCTGTTTTGCCATCTACAAGATTCGAGCAACAATGCCTAGTCGCACCAGATTTAGCCACACCGCGTCGCCGTCACCGAAACACAGAGCACATACAATCACCACCCCTAACGTTTTCCATTGATAGCGTCGTGATGTGCTTAAGAGGTCTTTTCAAAGCAAATGAGATGTGGCGCGTGAAACTGGCAGAACTTTGCCAGTGAGACAGCTATTCGCGTCTTGGCACCCTCGTACAATTTCGCATGGCACACACAGTGCAGATCGTTGGCAGGGTTGCGATCCTCGTTAGGGCGAGATGGCGATCTGGCTATCCCTTCCCAAGAGACCTAGCAATGGGCGGCACGGGAACGTGAGCTTTGCATCTCGGGAGCACCGGTGTACCAAGCCTACCTGCCTGACTTTGACAAGGTCGCCTTCTCCCCTGGTGCCTGACAAACCATCCAATCGAAGTTCTTGGAGGTGGCCGGGGCCTTATCTTGGTTGCATGATGTGGGCTAGGAAGTTTCTAGTAGGAAGCGGGCCGCCGAAATGGAAGCTCTGAAGAACATCCTTATCGGAGGCTGGGCGGAGGAAATGGGTTCGTCATGGAGCCCAGTGAAGTACATGTACTTTCGGCAAGGCACTGAGACAACGACATGCTGTGCAAATTGACTTTGGCCTGGGCTTGCCAGTCTTCAACGGCGCTCCATGGCTGCTGATTAGCCATGAGATGAAGACTTGATTTGCACTGCTCGTCGCCCAGGCCCAGCATTCCTGTTGCAAGTACAGAAGAGCTGTTCTATTTTTTGGCCATCGACTCGTCGTATTCAACCTGCAAAGGCAACGACTGCCTCGACACCACACTATCGAGCTGATTCTTCGTGAACCCCTGTAGAGATGGAGAAGCACAACGACCTGCCCGAAACGGCACTCGATCCCCGCATCTCAAGGCTAGGACACGCGGGCGTGGAGCAGATTGCAGGGCACGGGACGCGACTGGGCCCAGCAGCTGCAGTGTAATTCCGCGATGCGCGCATTCTGGATTCTGCCCAGCAAAGGGGAGCCTGCGCGTTGCCAACACCCGCCCATACGACCTTGAACTGCTCCATAGCTATCGAGCTGCCCAAAACAGAAACGCCATACGGTACGGTGACGCCAGTGATGAGCTCTAGCCAACAAGCCTAGCTCGGCAGACCCAATTAACCTTGTGAGACCTACGGTAGCCGTCGCCGGTCAGTCGCCCTGTCGCCAGGCCGCCCTCTGAGATCACTCCTCGTGCGACGCTACGGGCTGCCGTAGATGCCACTGGGCCTGCATGCCAACAAACGGGGAGGTCCGCCACTGAAATGACCCTTGGCATACGATCGTCTGTGTCTCCCCAGCACGTGTATAAGTAGGACCGATCCGCTACAATGGACCTCGGCGTTGCCTGTCCTGGCCGGTTGATCTGTTGACTCGTTCCTCGTCCCACCAGTGTCTTCCTCTCCAGAACCGCTGCCCACCATGAAGTCCTTTACCACCGCCGGCGCCATCGCCTCGCTCGCCCTTCTCGCCGAGGCCTGCATCCTGCCCGAGGAACTTGCCAATGGCGGCGAGGCCGTTGTCAAGCGCCAGACCGGAAACACAGGCCTGGCCATTGGCACTGGCAACAGGTTCGCGAACGGCACCGTTCCCCGCGGTCTCGGCACTCAGCCCCCCGGCACCAACCTCGAGACCCTCCTGAATGTCGGCGAGATCACGGCTGCCGTGCAGGCTCTCGTCGACGAGTACGATCTCGAGTCCTTCGTTGCACCCGTCAAGACGTACGAGGGCGCCGAGATTGTTGGTGCCAAGGTCGGTGGCCAGAAGAACTGCTCTTCCAGCTACCACGTCTACTTCAACGGCGCCATTCACGCCCGTGAGCGCGGCTCCTCCGATAACATCATCTACTTCATCTCGGATCTGCTGTATGCCAACAAGCACAACACCGGCCTTCAGTACGGTGGTCGCACTTACACCAACTGCGACGTGCGTCGTGCCCTTGCCGCGGGTATCGTCTTCACCCCTCTTGTAAGCCAATGCCGTCCTCGAGCAATTCCAAGCGCAGAAATACACCAATTTGTATCTAATCGGATGACTTACAGAGCAACCCTGACGGTGTCGCTTGGGACCAGAGCACCAACACCTGCTGGAGAAAGAACCGCAACCCCGCGGCCGCCATTGCTGGCAACCCTGCTTCCGTTGGCGTTGACCTGAACCGTAACTTTGATGTTGTCTTTGATTTCCTGAACAAGTTCCATCCCGAGGTCGGCCCCAACGTCGCCTCGAAGAACCCTCGTGCCCAGACCTACCAGGGCGCGTCTGCCTTCTCCGAGGCCGAAACCCAGGCGATCAAGTGGGTCATGGATGAGCACGAGAACTTGCGTTGGTACATGGATGTCCACGCCTATACTGGTGTTCTGTGAGTGTTCTACTTTAAACCGTCCCTCTGAGAATGTAATTATTTTGCTAATCAAGCCGAACATAGGCTGTACGCAAGCGGAATCGATGAGCTTCAGAGCCGTCACCCCGAGCAGAACTTCCTGAACTCGACCTACGACAACGTCCGCGGCCTAATGCCCGACGACCCTCAGAGCGGCGCGGTCTACGGTGAGTACATCACGCAGAAGGACTGGTCCGACAAGTCGTTCGCCGCCATGCGTTCCGTCAACGCCATGGACGCCGCCACTGGTCGCCACTACGAGGCCATGTCCGCCGCCTACCTGTACCCTACCTCCGGTGCCTCGGATGACTATGCCTGGGCCCGCCACCAGATCGACCCCAGCCTCAACAAGCTTCACGGCTACTGCCTCGAGTTCGGCTTCAGCAACACGGCGGCCAGCTGCGCCTTCTACCCCACGAGCGAGATTTACCACCAGAACGCTCTTGAGACCGGTGCCGGCTTCATGGAGTTCCTCCTGGCTGCGACCGAGATTGGCTTGGGCGAGGAGGGTACTTGCTAGATTTGAGGAACAAGAATTTTGTAGTGACTTGACTCTAATCAAGGTGCGGCCTGCATATTGAGCTCTACATGCCCGAAGCTCGGCTTTGAGGGAGACAAGCATGCCGTAGCCTCGGATGAGAAAGGGTCGACAATGACGAGATGAGCCATGACGTAGTGTAAAACGTAATGTACTCCCACTTTTGGGCAATGATCACCTCCCATCGATGAAACATCTTATGCGACCACTTTGCAACCGCAGCGATCAAGTTCAACATGAAGGATCCAGAGGAACAGATGCCCGCACGTGCTGCCTCCGCACAGATAAGGGGGAGGTCCAATTCTTTGAGGAGCCAAGCCATATGCTGGCCTGAAGAGGTGATTGAGATATCGGTAATTGCAAGATATGCACTGGCGCCGAATCAAGCGTGAAGCACGCAGGCTTGACTAGATACTGATCCCGCACTACTGGATTACCGGTCCACGCCAGGCAACTATGCATATAAGAAATACAAAATCGCAAAATATATAACACCAGGTATTCGCCGGTGGTTACCTACCCGACTACTAGTCTAGCCCTTATATAGATCATAGTTCAGAGAAATATCCTCTAAGTATAGTAAACTTTTCTTCTAAGTATAGTAGAAGGGTTATAGACCTATGGCCGAGTATAATATATATTTTAGCTTTTAATACGGTTAATATTAATAATATCTAATAATTATATATAAAGATCCTAGTAGTAATATATAGAGCCTACTACTTTAAATACTATATTTAATATCCTAGAGACTTTCTAAACCCCCGCTTATTAATAAACCCCCTATTTAATTTAGGAAATTACTTCGATCCCTAATTAGCTATTAAAGTTACGCTTTTAATTACTTTATTTTATATAATAAAAGAGAAGATAGAAAATTATATAATCTCTTATATATTTCCTTAAATCTCTAATATTTCCTTAGCTTAGCTTATACGAATAAACGTATACTTCTAGGCTTATTATATAACTATATCCTATCCTTAGCCGACTCGTCTATTAATAGAGTAGATCTCTACTATTTAGTATTACTTTATAGAGCGGATAGATAAGCTCTTATTTACTTATTTTAATTTTCCTTATAAATAATTATAATAACCTTAAAAATCTAATTAAATAAATAAATTACTTAATCTCTTTTCCTATAATAGTATAGGATTTTAAAGGGCTAATTAATAACCCTATAAAAAGCTAGGGTAGGGAACGATATATATTATATATATAGTATTATATATATATAGTATTATATATATAGTACCCGATATCTTATATATTAGCTTAAGCGGGCTATATAGAAACTATAATTATACTATTTTAGAACTAAACGCTACTATTTAAATACTATCTCTATATTAAAATAATATATAATCTACTTTACTTTAATAAATTATAATATATTTTACTATTTTATAGCGAGAGGTTTATATATAAAATATTTAGGATTAGAACTATTATTAATCTTTTTATAATAAGAAACTTATAATATTTAATATATAAAGAGGGGGGATAGAAATAATAAAACGACTTTATCTCTAATATATATAATAAGTACAATAAATAAATAAAACCTTAAATATACTATTAATATATAGTAATCGTATCTTACTTTAGTAAAATAAGCTTAGCTTAGTTCTAAGTAGAGCTAATCGCTAATAAAGCATTAATTACTTATATTATAAAGAAGTAAAGGTAGAGCTTATATTAAGAATAGTAAATATAAAGTCGCCTTAAATACTCCAAAGATTATAAATAGATATTAAACTAATCTATAGCTTTTTCTATAATATATTAAACTTAGACCTAGATAATATCTAGCTTTAGCTCTATAATAGAAATCCTAAATTAATAAGATATTATTAAGCCTATTAAGAGGGCTTCACTATTTATATAAACCCTAATCTAGTATTTCCGCTATGCTTATAAGCTCTGAATAGGTAAGGTATCTAATAAGTCTTATAATAGTTGATTCTTAATTAATTCTTATCTACTACCTATATAAGTTAGATATACCTATCTACTCTTAGCGATCACGTAAGCTATAGTTTACGTACTCCTAAGAATAGTAGATCCTAGATATCCTAGATATTATTATCCTAATTATAGAGTTCCTTAATATTAATTTAATATTAGCTCTTCTTTTCTTTATAGGTAGAATA